TAGCACCAATAACAAGGATTTTCTCATTGTCTTTTGACGTTAAACCATCCCAACATGCCATAAATTCATTCCTCAGCCTTCGGGTAGCTTCGTGCTCGCTATTTCCACCACGGGCACCGAGTAAAGCATCCGACCTGCAAGCCAAATTCTTCACATAATATAACTAACTGGTTTTGTAGCAATATTGGCATTTCATCCTAGTGGCTCGAGTCAAATTTAATCAAATGCAACACAGTTAAAACAACCATATATAGAGCCATATCCACAAGTAGGACTCACCTCATCAACAAATATAATTACTGGGGCCAACTTGCGGGCGAATGAGAAAAGCCCCCTTGTAAGATTTTCTTTATCTCCATACCACTGCCCAAATATAACATATATAAAATAAATTTACTTAGCTAGCAAATGATCAGCTAAGTAAAAAGCAAAAGCTCTACTGGTTCAAATATCTTATCGACGACCATTACTTTGGAAATTTTCACTTACCATAGATGTGAGGATGAAGGAGTAATATTGATGAAATTAGCCCCTGATTCTGTAGCAAGAGCCTTCGCCATAAGCGTTTTCCCGATTCCATGCGGCCCGAAAAGTAGCAACCCTTTGGAAGGGTGAAAGAGAACGTGTATAAATAAAAGATCACAAAATCTAAACAAATGTACACATATGATGTTTTTCCGACCAAGGTGGTGGAGCATAAGCCGTTTTCTTACCCTCATAGATCTGAATTAAGAAAAAAAATCCCATTATTCACTTTCATCGGCGCGTGGGTCTCTATAACTGGGGAGAGGATGAGGAGCAAACGTGGGAAGCAGCAATCATCTCTTTCATCAACATCAAATGAAGATGTCTCCAAAAGAATCTAGAGGTTTCTTCATTACCTCGAGTGAGATTAACTTTCACAAAATTTGGATAAAACGACGATGAACGATAAACACCCGCTCGGGCCATCCACATTTCACGCAAACACGGGGTCTCGAGTTTAGTTATTAAAAATGAAGGTGGAATTACACACAAGAAAACAGTACACACTATAAGAAAAAAATTAAAGATAGTTGCAAGAAGATTTAACGAAATTTGATATGAACAATGAATTTAAATCTAATACTAAACCTAATGAAGAACACCATATAAAACACATATATAACATTATACCACCATAACCTTGTCCTCACCATTCAACCGTCCACCTGCACCCAAATAAAATTCTTATAGTACTAAGAAAAAAGAACTGTAACACTGTAAGGTCCCCACACTTAAGAACGACCAGCCTAGACAAAAAAAAAAAAGATATGGTAACAACTAAAGACGACGCGCGACTTTACAGAGATGGCTTGTTGTTCGTGGGGATGCTCTGTAAGCCGGCAAAAAAGAGCTGGCGATGGCTAGTCTCGCGGTGTTGTGGCCGGAGCACAGGCAGAGAGTGAGGACGACGGGAGTCGACTGCTCAAAGGTGTCGCAAGGGGGCTGAAAATGTGCTCCTCCTCGGATGGGCTTCTCGGCTCTGTCTCACGGCAAGAAGTTAGGGCGTCGCCGTCGAGTTTGGATGGTGCGATTGACGCCTGCGAGAAGGGAGGCTCGCAACGGCGGTTCGTTGTTTGGAGAGATCGCCGCCGGTGTGCTTCGCGGGGAGAACGTCGGCGAGTTCGTGGACTGCTCTGGTTGCCGATGGATGAGGTCGCCGGGAGGAGAGATTTCGTTGACGATGGGAGGGAATTTTCCGATCAGAGATTTCGAGAAAGACGAACTTGACAAGTTGAACTCAAAGTTGAACTAATCTGATAGCTGTTTGAGGGAGATGGCTGCGTGGTGGAGTAAGAGAGAGAGAGAGAGATACCTTACGGCGGTGGGGGTTTCAGTAGAAGGATCTGGTAACAATTTTTGGGGAATAAAAATGACCAATATACGGTAGAAAACAATGGACCCCAAAACGACCAAAATTACAAAAATGACCCTAACTATATACGGAAGAAAAGAAGCCCAAAAGAAGCGCAACCATGTAGCCACGTGTCGCTCTCTCCAAAGGTATCCTATTTTCTTATTTAATAGTATAATAAGGTAGATTTTATTTTACTTTACCATTTTTTTTATTTTATAATATTATATTATTTTTATTTTATTTTAACTGGTGTACTTTAATCTAATTTATTTTTAAATTTAATTTTATCATTATTATTTTTCATTTTCATATTTATATAACTAATTTTATTTTAATAAAATAAGAAATATATAAATATATATAAATGTCATTTAATTTTATGCATTCTACTATAATAAAATTTATCTTACTTTATCTTAATTTATTTTTATTTAATATATACAATTTATTTTATTATATTTTAATTATTATTATTTTATATATTATTAATATTATTAAATATAATTTACATTATCTTTTAAATTTAATTTGATTATTTGTATGTTATGTCTTTATAAATATAACGCTACTAAGGTAGACATACAGCTTCTATGGTGTAGTGGTTACTACATCAATACACAGCCTAGAGGTTTTGAGTTCGAACACCAACAATGATTTATTTTTATCACCAGCGCCATGTCAGCAGAAATCATCACATCAGCATCCATATCAACAAACATTGTCAGAAATTCGCCACATCAGCAATAAAAGCCCGAAATTGGGCCCGGATGATGAAATTGCAAACATTAATAAAAGTGGTGTATATTTTTGTCAACTTTAAAAGTGGTGCATATAATTGCAATTTTCGAAAAAGTCATAGTTTTATTAGCAATTAGGCCATTATATTATGGCATGTGCTTTGGGAAGTGGTTGTGATAAGAGATTATTCTTGAAACAACTAACCATAGTTAGTTAGACTGCAGAGTTTATATAAAGAGGAGAGCTCGAAAATCGACATCGA